TTTTTTGCTATAAGTTCTCCAGATTTGCAACTGACTTTTGAAAAATTGTGTTTTTAAGATGAGATCATCTGAAAAAATCGCAAGGTGGCAAATCACAGGAACGGTCATCAAAGAAGTTTCTTAAAAAATTTAAGTTGTTCATTGTACAATGAATCGGAGTTCCATTTTATTGAAAGAATCCGTTCTGCAATTCATCATTGTGTTGGTTGACAAAGGGCTCTAAAATTTCATTTCGATAGCTAGCAGCATTTAGTGTAAAAATTAGAGTAAAACCGTTGTGGATAATTTTTTCAGTTCACCTTGAACGAATATTGATGATACAACGATTGCAATGGTTCTTCAATAAAATCATGTGGTTTCTCATGACTCTAAATTCTCATATTTTGTGAGTTTTTAAAATGTTTCCCACGATTTTTCGCTATTAAACAGGTCATAAAACGATCGAATATTCTCGCCATCTTAGATTGTAATTTCCACTAAAGCATTCTAACTATTGCTTTGTACATTCTGTCCAAATTTGATTTTTGATTTGGTTTTTGAAGTGATTTGATTCGTGGACACACACATTCTATATACATATATATATATAACAATGCCGGTACTTGCATCTTCATACCTCACCAGCACCGACTTCACTCTTCTTTTATTCACTCATCTTCCCTCACTCCGTCACACACTCTCTCATCCTTCTCCTTTTCTTAAACACCCTAATCACCTACATCACCTTGGATTCCAACAACCTCTCAAACCGTCTTTCCTCTTCCCCCATCCGTCCTGACCATTCACAACTCGTTTCCTCATCATTCATCATACAATCCACACTCGAAAACAATATGCGAAACATTCTCTATCCTGCTGCAACCACACAGATCTGTATCAGTCAGTTCTCTTTTATTCAAAAACTCATTCATACTCCCATACTCCGTCTACAAAAGCAACCCAAACATTCCTGGCTCAAACCAAACGTTCTCACCCGCGAACCTCACACTCGGAACAAAATCATGACTCACTCTACCCTTCTCGCTCATATACCATCTTCTCTGCCAGATCTCCCACAGTTTCGCATCCATCTCACCCTTTTTCTCCAGATCCTCTCCTTCTTTTAACCTAATCTGTAGCCATCCCAATTTTCCTAGTCTCACTCCCCTTTTCGCCCTAAACATCACTCCTCTCCTCAAAAATTCCAAATCCTACGGTAACTCTCCTATCAACACTTGCATCGCATCTGTACTCACTGTTCTACAAAACACCATGCACCAATACAACACGCTCCTTAGACACCTGTTCACCAACTCTCCCATATACCCAAACCTCAACACACCAAAAGAAGCACACGCAACCATCAATCCTTTATATATCACACGTACCGTTTGTTTATCCAGACCTCATTCTTTCCTCAATACAAGCCTCAGTTTCCCCATTACTCTGATTACCCTACCTCCCAGACTCTCGACTTGTGGTCTAAAATTCATACGCTCACTAACACTTATACCCAGATACTTTACCTCTTTCACATACCTCACACGCTTTTCCTGAACCCTGACATTTGGTGGTTTCGAGTCAAACAACGATCCCTTCAGAAGCATCATAACCGTTTTCTCCCTAGATATCTCGACAGCCACTTCATTCCCCCAAGCAACTACCATTTCCATTATTTTCGTTCCCACATCCTCAATCTCCCTCCTATTATCCACCTCAGTCATATACAACAGATCATTCGCATACCCCACACACAATATCCCCCTCTTTCCAATCTCTTCCAACAAACCATCCATCATCATATACCAAATCGCCGGTCCACAGATAGATTCTTGTGGACATCCTCTACACACCTTCCTTTCCGCCTCAGTTGCCCCTCCTACCACACACTTTAGAATCTCTAACGTAATACGTCCAAACTTTGATCTCCTTACACCCAGCTTACATCAATTTAGGTACTCAACTCCGCATTCCAGCTCACATTATCAAACGCTCCTTTAAAATCAACAAAAATTGTTTCACAATTATCCACGCATCCTGTATTCCCAATCCTTTCATGAATCCGAACTGAGCCCTTGACCATCTTCTTTCAAGTACCCTCGCCAATCTCCCCACCAGTACTCTCTCAAACAGTTCTCCCATCACACTCAAAAGGAAGATACGTCTATACGATCTCTGTATTGACCTATCCTTATCTATGCCCTTCAAGAGGATGACCAGTCGCGGAACCTTCCATTCGTCCGGAACCCATTCTTCCCCCATATATGGATTAAACACCTCCATCACATACTCCGGAACAGTCTTCCAGACAACCGCCATTATTTCAGGCGTCACCATACATTCCTGGCGACCACTTCTTCCTCCTACTTCTTACGCTCTTCTCAACCTCATCATAATTCACTTTCTCCACGACATCCTCCACCTCCTCTTCATACAATTCATAGTTCACGGGGACGTCAACTGGGAAAAACTTTCTCAACAATACCTCCACCGTATCACTCCAAATGTCCGTTTTCCTATCACCGTCTCATAGATCTACCAGTCCTTCGTTCCTCTCACTCCTTTAGAGCTTATAAACTGCACCCCACGGATCCGCATTGGCAACAAACCGGACAAAATTCCTCCACCATAAGACCTTTGTCTCCTTGATGGTTTTTTATTATGTCTAAGTAAGCCTTGATACTTGAACGTGCACCTCTCATTTTCATCCAAATTTCTCTCTCGTTTACGAGTCAACTGCCATTTTTTTCGTATTTTCGCAACTCGACCTTTTAAATCTTTTAGTTGCTCGGTGCACTAGACTACTCTTTTATCCTTACCTTTAACAAACCTTTTTGTCGCCTTGTGCATAGCAATGCAGATCCATCCGTGCAGGCGTTCTAGCTGCTTCCTACCCGGGAGTCTCGCCAAGCTTTCAGGACTGGTCATATAGGCCTCCCTTCCCAATTCCGATTTGAACATCTCCCAGTTGACGTTTCCCATGGACCACCCTCTCTTTTTTATCTTCGCTTTGAACTTCTCCCGCACACCTTCCACACTGATCAATAAACAATTGTGGTCACTCACACCCGGGTCTTCATTAACCTCCCACGTGTCACACACAAACCTTTCCACCCAGCCACCATTCACTACCGTGTTGTCAATGTCCGACTCTCCCATCGGCCAGCTAAAAGTGAACAAATCAGTTAGTCTGTTCAAAAGTTCTAAGTCCAGTTCCCCAATTAGTTCTTCCAATTCCCGACCCCTCTTCTCACTCTCACGACCTGTCTTCACATACTTACTATACCACAGGGAGGGTGACGGCATTAGCGTCCATACCTATAATCATCGCATTTCGCGCACATGCAACCACCACCTTCCTCATCCATTCCAAATACGGGCCAGTCTCATCCCCATATCGACAATACACAGACACCACAGTCATGCTACCCAATTCACATTTATATTCACACATACTCCCAAATTTTGACCATCCACGCTAATTTGTACAGCATCCATATCTCTATCATCTATCAATGCGGCGAACATATACACTCTCGTATCATCAGACACAGCAACCACCCGGCCCTCTATTGCATACAGTTCCTGCAAGAACGCCACCCTTATAATAAGTATTCTCTCTCATACATACCCCTATGTCACTCATCACACTATAACAAGATAATTTGCTTCCAGGATTTTAAAACCCATAAATAAATTTCTTGACCGCACTTAGCTGCTGTACAAATATCGGACATGTAATGAAAAAACGTTACCTTACAATTCCTAAACTGGTCGATCGTCGCCTTAGATTATTTCCCCACATGTTCTTGTTCCCACATTTCCTGCAAACCATATTTCTAATCTTACAATCAAACGCACCATGACCGTATCCATAACAGTTATAACACCTGAACCCATCGACCCAATCTTTCCATTTGAACGAATGCCAGTCAGCATACCCTACCGTGGTGCAAAAATACCTCCTTAACTTTATCCGTAACCTCAATCACAACATATTCCAATTTTCGACTTCTTAACCACGAAATTTTTCCGATATATCGACTCAGGCAACTCCTGATTCCCCCTTTCCACAGGTACATCATACAACATAATCCTAATTCCTCTCCTTTTCACATCTTCCGTGGACCAGTTTGTCTTAACCATCTGTTTTATCGTCTCTATCTCGTATTTTGACGACCAAGTCGGTTGTGCTCTTGAAGTACTCCTTCTTACATCCATAAAGTCTCGAACATCTCAAAACAGTTTCTTCATCTTTCTTTCATAGATATGCTGCTTTATTATGCCTCGGTGGTGATTTTCCTATTTACAAGTATTTTATTTACTCTGTTCTTATTTTATCGATACTAATTTTTAATGTTTCCTCTTCATTTCCTTCTGTTTGCAGGTTGGTAATGATTTCCTGGTACGTACTAAATCTATCCAGCTATAATTCGCTTATATTCTATAATTATGTTGCCAGTTTTCTGTCTCAGTATATTTCCACTCATCGCTCTCTTATTATGGGCACAAATGTTTGCACACATTTCTCCATCTTTTATTTCTTTTAATCCTTCTACTACCATAATGCCCTCTCTTCCTGTACTCCTTGAACCACTTTTCAAAGGATTCGTTGATCTTTCTAACAGTTCCATATTTAGCCAATAAGTCTAATAGCGTGACAGTGCGGGGGCTGAATATTGCACACACGTATAATTAAGGTAATTAAACCAGTGATGATTTAAACCACCGGACAGTTGTGTAGAAGGTGAAGAAAGTTCGACGGAGTGGTTCTTCGACCACGCAACGATGGTGGGTTTGAGAAAGTTAGATATCGGAACCAAATTGGACCCTAGAGGGAGGGACCAACCAAAACCGCTGAATCCGCTGGACTCAGCTACTGATCAGGTCTGAAACCATTTCCTATTTATAAGTCTTGCGGTCTGTGAGAGCGTGTTGGACAACAGATTTCCTACGATTATTCGCTATTAGGTTAAACAGGTCATAAAACACTCCTTTTTGAACCCAGGCAATTTTAGATTTTAATTGCCATTCAAGCGATCTAATTGTTGGTCAGTGCGTCTGTTGATATTTGGACAAAGAATGTGTCTTGGGCATAGATTATTAAAATGATTTGATTGACAGTAAATTCTGTCCATATTTGGATAAGGAATCCTTGGAAGACATTGGAACAAAGACACAGTGTGTAAAATCTGGAAAGTAATACGTGATTTTAATGGGTAAGGGTAGACCGACTTATAAAAGGGCGATTTTAGGGTGTGATACGACTATTTTAAGGAAGCAATTTTCGATCCTCCATGATAACATTTACATTAATTTATTACATTAATTATATTACAGTAATTGAAGTAGTTCATAGAATTTGTGTTTGTTTTCCTGTTCACTGTTATCTATAAAGCTTCGAACTACATGTAAGATCTAAATCCGGCTGTTGTAATTCTATTTAACCCTCCAGTGGTGACGTGCTATTTCATGACACCAGTGGTGACGTCGGTCTCACAGACATTTCAACTTTTTCGTGTTTTTTTTTTAATATTTATTAACTATACTATCTTTACAGCTTATTGATTGTAAACAGAACTGTCAGATTTAGTTTTTTATTTAAGAAAAAAATTAAATTCAATTTTTTTTGCAAATTCAAATTTTAGGAGACATAACAAAGTACAATTTTCATATTTTTGTGAAATAAAATTAAACAGTTTTACAAGAAAAATAACTATTTATCAATTCTAAACAAGATTAGTTATCGCAAACCAAATTTTTACCGAAACAATCTTCACAGATCATTATACAATGTTCTAGGCACATAAACGTCTTGCAGCTCTTACAGAAGAATCGAGTTTTTCTGTTTTTCTTGGAAGAGCACAATTCACAGCGTCCTGGTTCTGTTGGTTCTTGTGATGTGGAAGCTTCAGGATCAAGATGGCAAAGTTCCCGAATTCTGGTGCGCATTGTTCTTGGTAAATTTTCGGAATAAGCTCGTGCTTTCAAATGGTTATTTATCAGCGCAAAAGATAAGTCTTCTAAAAAGTGTCGACGAAGAGTTCTATCTTCGGGGTTATTTGCGTGAAAAATTACCTCTGAATTTATTGCAGAAATATTTACAAGACTGTAAAAAACCACCATTTGCCACCTCCGGGTATTACGGGCACAATTATAGTTAGCGCACAATTGGTCTACAGTATCCACTCCTCCTTTAGTGGCGTTATAATCAAGAATTATCTGTGGTTTTCCTGTAGCCTCATTGACTAAATCGTCGTCATGCATAGTAGAAATCAGAAGAACGTTTTTATTTTTTTTGGGAATATAAGATACTAGAGTACAATCATCCCTAAAACCAAACATACTAGAACCAATCGGCCGATTTTTTCCTTCAACAAATTCTCGTGGCAACGCACGCTTATTTTTTCTAATTGTTCCTACAGTTGTAATTTTATGGCGCAGCAATAGCTCAGACAATTCAGTGCTTGTAAAAAAGTTATCAGTAGTAAGGTTTCTACCTTTTCCTTTCATTGGTTCACACAGTCTATCGACAACTGCAAGTGCACTGTTATTTTGTGAAAATGGCCCTTCAGGTTGGGCTCCAACGTAGACTTCTAGATTAGCCGTATAAAACATTTTTGCATCGCAAAGAGCATAAATTTTAATGCCATATTTATTGGGCTTGCTAGGAATATATTGGCGAAAGGAACAACGGCCCCGAAAGCCTTCTAGTTTCTCATCGATTGTTGTGCTATGAGAGAGGCTGTAATTTTTCTTACAGTTGTCTACTACAGCCGTGAACAATTCTCTGATAGGAGCCAGCTTATCCAAAGATTTTCGCTCAGCGCGAGTGTCTATATCATCAAATCTCAGGTATCTCAAAAGAATTCGAAATCTTTGGCACGACATTGTAAGTCTGAATATTTCGGGGCAAGTACCATTCGATTTAAATAAATCTTCAGCGTTCAAGTGATTTGATTTTTTGACACCACTAAGTAACAGAATGCCCAGTAATGCTTGAATTTCTATAAAATTTGTGGGACGAGTATAAGTCGCTCGAGAATAGTTAGCTTCTGCAGTCGCTAAATATTTGTTTGTATTTTCAACTATTATATCTAATACATTCTGATCAAAAAAGTGATGAAAAATTTCAAGTGGTGTTTTGACTAACCGTACAGGACCAATGGGTCCTGGTAATTGAGTCACAATATTTTTTATTGTTCGTCTAACCTTCCTTTGCTTACAATGCTTTCTCCAAATAGTTCCATCCTTGCCAATAAAAACCAACCTCGTATTTACCTTTCGTTCTTCACTCGATTCTTGATCAGATTCAACGTCGTCAAATTCTAATTCCTGCTCTGTATCGGTATTTTCTTCTCGTTCTTCAAAACGACCGTCTTCAACTTCATCATCTACTGCGTCGTCAGCTTCGCAATCATTTTCATCAGAAAAACACTCTTCCATCAGACGTTGAAGTCTCTGCTGGTCCGCTTCATAACTCATTATTGTTTGCAAATATCTTCTAGAATTGTTTACACTTAAGACAACAGTTTTGTTGCATCATAAAACTTACCTTTAGCAATAAATTCACTTCACAACACAAAACAAGTAAAAACTTTTTCAATATTACAATTTAACAAAGTGTAGCATAAGTGGTGACGTCGGTCTGAGAGTCCGAAATTGGCAGTTACTTGACAGCTATTAACGCCTGCACGCTATGATGCACACTGCAGGTTCGGAGAACTAAAAAAATAAGCTAAACTGACGCAGAATGACGTATGACGTGCGTAGGCGCTAAAATTCAAAATTTAAATTTTAGTCGGTCTGAGAGACCGTACGTCACCACTGCAGGGTTAATGTTGCTTGCCAACGGGTTAATTCTTTTCCTGGAATTTCTATAAAAAAATTCCACATCTCTCCTATGTTAAACCTTATCGTTGTTTCTTATTTAATTTTATCACAGTTCTAGTCTCCCAATATTTCCACTCGATACTTTTAGACTTTTTTTTTTATAACTCGAATATGACAAAACAAGACAAAAATTGCTGTCTTTTCGCATGCTAGGTTATTATTACTAGACATTGCTTTATTCTTGTTAGTAGTTTTTCCATCAAAACTGAATTAACTAAAATGGATAACATCAATTTGTAAAATAGAGCAAACAGGTTAGCTAGAAGTACTTGCGTTTATATCAAAACTAAACATCGTGTTAATAGTTAATGATAGTTTCGTGTTTCACTGTGTTGTACACATTTATAAAAGCCGTAGCACCTAACAGCAGCATGACCCTTGAGTTGTTAACATTTGTGTTTAAAATAGGGACAATACTTGGTTGTACTCCATCATCTACAGAATTAAAAAATGACAGTTTAATTAAGAAAATCTACTGCATCTGTGCTGCAATTTTAGTAACGGCTTCTGTAATAGCAGCCATAATATACAAAACGTATTTGACAAGATTTATACACGTTAAAATAGTAGTGAATCTCTTGATAGATCTTCTTCAGTATTCATCAATGATATATTTTATTTTAATGTTAGGTCTAGGCAGAAGGCAATCGTGGAAGTGTTTACTAAGCAATTTGAAAAAAACTGAATACCTAATTAACAGTTCATGTAGCTGTAAAAGTTACTTGTGTTATGCTTTTGTAAATGTAGCTCACTTGGTAGGATCAGGATTCATATTTTATGTTCGTTGGAAACAGATGGGTTTCAGATATTTAAAATCGTATCTTATTACTCACATATGCGTGTATTTGATATTTTTTCATCTGTTGATAGAATGTATATGTCTTAACATGTTGCTGTTACGCTATAGAGCTTTAAATTCTTTGCTCGAAATGAACGTCAAAAAGAAGAGATCTCAAGACATTTTGCGATATTTTAAAGTAGTTGAAATTCTAGTGTCGAATTTAAAAAAAAGTGTCAACGCTTACAATGATTTATATGGATGGCCGACTTTTTTACTACTCTCTTATACAGTGGTTTTTCTTCTCAATACATTGGATGATTTAATTTATTTCAACCTCTCAAGATTATCGTTTATCGACAATATTTTACTTAATTTGATTATACTAATGTGCTTTCTTGTAAGATACAACTAAATGTGTTAATTTATTTAATATTGTTAATTTTAGGTGGAATCAATTACACTTCTCTTAATGTGCGATGCGATTCTGAAAGAAGATGACAAGACGATGAAATTGTGTTACAGTCTCCATGCGTCATGGACCAGTTGCTCTCCTTTACAGAGTTTACAGATTTCAAACTTTATAAGTTTTCTAGGAAATAACGCCCCTGTTTTTACAGCAGCTGAATTTTTTATTATCGACAGAGGAACCATTCTTCAGATGCTAGGAAAAGTTGTTTCTTTTATCATAGTGATGATAGACTTTGGACATCCAACTTAAAATAAAATGTAAAATTTCTTTAATAAAATTATATGAAAATAACTATCTTCATTAATCATGCTACAAAGTATTTGTCTAGATGAAATTTTACAGTTTGGAAAGTATTGGTCTGAATCGGTCTAACAGATCCATCGCTCTAATTTTTCCCCTACCGGTATTCTGAAAGTCACCTTTTCATGACAAGACCGAATCTAGCTCTGACTTATATATTCAGCAGGAATTTTATATTATTTCTGGTTCTAGTGAAATAAAAAATGAAAACGGAGTATAAAGAAACCACAAATCAGACAAGAGAAAAAAGGACATAAAGAACGGAATAATAAGGACTTGGAAACCCTGACAAAAACAAACTGCAGAATAATATACAGAAAAAACGGAGAGAAGATGATAAACAATAAAAGAATTAATTGGTAAGTATAGATTGGGCAAAATATAGTCGATAATCAAGAAAGTATCACTAAAATTAACATGAATAGATGAATTTGAAACCAGCGTGAGGTAGAGTGGAATTTTAAGCCAAACGTTATTTAGTTTAGTATTAGACAACGTAATGAAGACGGTGAGAAGAAAAGTAAAAAAGCTATTTCCCCGAAAGAATTCATTACTATAAACATATTTTGTTTGACATTTCAAATATAATCGTTTATAAGACATGTAATAAAATAGTACATATATTTTATTACTATAATTACCGTAAAATATATTACATAGTAAATATATTGAACCGAAATTATTTTCGATTTCAACTGATAAGCTTCAGTTTAAACTCAATCGATTCTTTTAAGTCTTTAATGTTGCATATATATCCTCACAATATCCAGCTATTTGTTACAGCTTAGCGCAACTCATATTATGGGTTTTAGATTGTTGTCATTCGTTTTAAAATTTGGAAATATATTTGCTACAGTTTCAGTTAAAAACAATAAGTACAAAAATTTGTGCAATATTATTGTTAGTGTTGTGCTGGCTGCAAGTGGTGTGCTAGGATTTACAATTAAAAAGTTTTATTCTGATTTTAACCCAACGCGGAGAATTTGTTCAGTTGTTGGCGATGCTTTATTATACTGTATCAGTTTTTACTTTATAATAGTACTTAATTTCTGGAAGAAACATTTGTGGACGTTACTTTATGAAGCTTTGAAAAGGACAGCGAAATTAAGTTGCTTCGAAACAAACAAATCCAAAATTCCTTTCTACTGTGGATTCGTTATTATGAACTGTGGTCACTTCACAGTCCATGCACTAGTACTAGTAAGTAGTGGTAGCGAAGAAAGATAAGCTACTCCGTAGTCTAGTGGTAAGGGCACCCGCCCGGCAAGCGGTAAACGTGCGGTTCGATTCCCACCGGAGAAGCAACATTTTTCTTCGCTTACCTACAATATAATCTTTGGCGAATTCCACACCAGGCATTTGTACTTTTCGAATGTGTCCTTTCTGAGTTTAGCGAGTGAAAAGCACATTTTCCAAAAAATTTTGACCTAAAATGGTTTGTACCCGAACAAATCGACAAGTTTTTTAGGGTAGTCTGTCTCTTTAAGCCCTTGGAGCAAGGTGGTATCTTAAGAATGGCATTTATTTTCCTTGGAAATTTTGCAAACAGAAGACTGGCTACTGCTTACCCTTTTTACAATTCGCGCTGTCCTACATGATAAATTAACGGGAGACTCTTTACTAATTCTCTTCCACCAACAGTGTGATGATGACATCTCAAAATTATACACAGTAAATAGCTTTCATTAAATTGTAAAAAACATCATACTCCTACACGTGTAGTTTATGAATACGTGTAATCCTTATGGCAACATTTTGTTTTTTCATTTCAAATGTTTTGAAATTTTGCAGATATTTTAAAGTTATCGTAGGATCATTTTAATCAAAATAAATATGTTTATTCCTCCAAAAAATGCATGACGTTATTACAAAATTTTGCCCAATACATCCTACCGAAAATGTTCAAAATATGGTGAGTCTACACTTGTGATTTATGTATTTCATAAATTTTGAATTTCTCATACAGGTGACCCAAAAAAAGAAAATTGATGAAATCATAAGTGCTGTTGAATTTTCTGTTTGATCCCTCCCTAAACAATACGCGCACACCATCCGGTTCGAAAAGGCCAAATTTGTCAGCAAGGCCAAAATTCCAAAATCCAGTTTATCCAAAGACGTCTTCTTCAAGGCCTCGAATCCAATTCTAAGATAACGATTCTGCCAGGAGACAAAGGGAATGATACTATCATCTTAAATACGTCTGAATACTTTAATAAAATAAATAATAAAATAGAGGACGATTCCTATGCCCCAATTCCACGTGACGCTACTTCCAAAATTGAAAGGAAACTCCACCTCGTATTCCAAAAATTCACAACGAGGGTATTCCCCTAAGACCTATCGTCAGCACTATTGATTCCCCCACGTATGCTACTGCTAAACAAACTGTTACGAAATAAACCCATACGCCGCGCCGGTACGACGGCTATGGGTTTTCTAGTATGTGCGGCGATGGTGGATGAGTCATCGTCGGTGCCGGCGGCCGGACGGCGTTCGCTAAAGAACAGCCTGGAAGCGGAAGTCGCGATGGGTGCTCCAGAATAAGTCTAGAAGCGGTGACGTTGACTGTTTCAGCAGGACCGCGTGGGTCTTTAAATGGAAATTACCGTCGGGAGCAGTCAGTGAAGTCCAGACAATGGGAGAAGAAAAATCTAGTCACATCCATTCCGGTCGGAATTATTCTATACATAATCGCTGTGTAATTGCTTAAGTAGTCTTGTAAATTTGGGTTACTAAGAAATTAATTGTTGAGTTTTACCCACTTCGATTTTAATTACCGATCATCGGAACAATACTAAAGGGTTATACAAAACTTCTTCACATGTCCTAAATTCCAAACATTTTATTCCATTCCTATCGAATTGGTTATTTACCAGAGTCCTTGTTCTAGATTCGGGATCCATTATTCGCTAAAATCTATCTCTGTACAGTAAACCGGATATTCTAGCTGATTTAGTAGAAAAACGCCTAACGTCCATGAAGGAGAGAAATTTGAAGGTGGATCCGAAGAAATGCCTCCAATTCCAAAAAGAAGAAGAATTT